GCTTTGTAGGGATGCGAGGTCAATGGTCTAACGACTACGGCATGCACGACTATGAGTACACCCCCCCCACACCCCTGTCATACTAATCCCACCAGATATATCAATCCCCCTTTTCCTCCTGTCGTACCGATCCCACCAAATACATCCATCCCCCTTATCCCCGTGTCATACTGATCCTACCAGATATATCAATCCCCCTTTTCCTCCTGTCATAAAAATCCCACCAGAAACATCAGTTCCCCTTCCCCCTGTAACACATGGGCGGTGACGGATTCACACGAGCTGGAGACGCCTCCTCCCGGCGAACCAATTCACGACGGCACGCATGCGGACCAAACGGATTCTCGCTCTCGAAAAGAAAAATACAATTTCCCGCTGCTGGTCCTTGACGAAAATCAGAACGCGCTTCCACACATGTCGTGGTTGGTCAACCCGCTGCCATTTCAAGATGTGCGGGAAAACGAACGCCCCACGCGCGCAATCTCGTGCTTCCGCCGCCAATCGGTGGAAGTTTCGGTGATGGGTCAAGGTGGAGGCTACTCCACGCGCAGTGCGTTTCCACACTCGACCCGCGGCCTGGCAAGGTAGCATGCACGTTGTTGGCCCGTTTTCTGGCCACCACTGTTAAGACTGAAGTCTCTTCATTGGTCAGCCTACTAGCGCGGTAGATGCTAATACTGACGACTCAAGACATATTGGTCAGCCTGTTAGCGCGGTCGATGCTACTAATAGGGACAAGGACACGTTGGTCAACCGGTTAGCGCGGTCGACGCCAAGCAATAAAGACACGCACACGCATGCACGCACGCACTTGGACACGCAGAGCGGGAGCAGGTTCTCCTTGGGAATCACGTGCCCGCAGCTGAAGACCTCGACTCTCGACGGCTCCACGGAGGCGAAGAGCTGCCGGACCAGGTCTCCCGTAGGCTGCATGGTGCCCCCGACGAGCACCAACGCTCTCGCCTTCCGTCACAATCACAACAACAGCAGTGACGTTGCCGACAACGACGGCGGCAATCAGAGCAACAGCGGGTTACGAGCGCGCCGACTAGCACCACCGCTTCGCCTTCTATTGCGAGAAGAACATCAACACCAACGTTACCGACAAAAATGACAGCAATCAGAGCGACAACGGGCTACAAGCTGCGTGCGCGTGGCCGTGCGTTGGCCACGCGTTCACAGCTATCGCGCTACATAGCAGGGTAGACCACTACAAGTTAAGTTATCGCGGAATGTCGGAAAAAAGATAACATTCGCCTTTTCGTGTTGGGCTCGCACGCTTTATACTACTTGCAGATGCGCTCAAGACAAATGTCTGCTAGTTACGTCGGGTGGATGCACAATGCAGGCGGAGGTCAGAACAACCTTTCATCCCGAGACAACAACAACCACAACGACAACCACAACAGCAGCAGCAGCAACACCGCGACAGTATACCTTTTGTACGATCTCGTCGAAGTGCACGGCGGGGTTGAGCATCAGAAACTTCACGGAAGGTTCTTCTTCATCTTGCGTCGTCTTCTGTCCGGCAGTAGCCCCTCTGCCCCCGCCGCCTCCCACATTGTCACGACTGCTGCTACGCCTGCCCACTTCCTTTCCTCCGAACGTGGCGAGAACGCGGCCATCCCTTTCAGGGAACCAAACACGGAAGCGGAGCACAGAACGGGGCTACGGATGCTCTGTCTGGTGCGTGGAAGGTTTCATGCTGGCATATGGGTTTTTGTGGGAATGATATGGGTGCTTTGGGTCATTCTTGTGTTATTTGATAGATTTCGGTTGTTGGACGACGGTCAAACAAACGTACCCACAGAGTTAGTCGGAGGATGACACGTCTACATGCTGATGAGCCCTCATGACAGCGGCAACAGCGAAAATTCAACCAAATTGCCGGGCTGGAGAAACTCTGCAAATGCCACATCAGGTCGTCACATCAAACCGTCTCCCCACACGTTCAATTTGGCATGTAAAAAGAAACAAAACTGGTATGCTCTCATGCCCCCTCTGCTGCGCCTTTCGGCTGTATTTCGCCACCAAAGACCAAAGCGCGTGCAATGTCACGGCAGCAAAACACACGTAGTACACATCAAGCCAACACTCCAACGTGTTAAGGACGACCAAGCTACCTGCCGTGTAATTGAACAACAAGAGCTTTGTTTCTTGTGTGCCCTCGCCGCTCACGTCATAAATCGTCACCTGCTAGCGTTCGTGAGTGCGTCCAAGAAGGCCTCCACAGTCTGTAACGCCGAGACATGCTTGCTCACAAACATTCCCGCAGCAGCAGCAGCATCTTCCCCAGCCCCCCCCCCCCCCCCCCCCCCCCC